TCATAAAAAAGGGGGAAAATACCCTTAAAGTCATTGAGAAAGCAATTGGTGGTTGGCAAGGGCTGGAGGCGGGGAGGGATTGACTACACATGGATCAGAGGAATTTTGGGGTGACATAACTTCTTTATCTTGATTATAGGGCTGGCTATACAGCTCTACACTTATCAGAATTATATCCTAAAAAGGATGAGTTTTGCTGTGTGTAAATTACACAGCAAGGGCAGAGGAATGTGGCTCAGCATAGAGGACTTGCCTAGCACGCCAGACACCCAGCCTTCCCTCACAAAGTTCTTGAATAGAGAGGCTAAGCTCCAGGTCAAGTGCCCTCTTAGAAATGTAGTCTTCCTTGCCTCCCAGTGTGCCTCAGATGGCAAAACGAGGTGGACCATCTCTGACTTGGTGGAGGCGCAGCGTGAGAGGCAACAGCAGGATCCAGGAGCACGGCCCAGGCCTGGAGGGCGCTTGCCTTCCTGGGGAAGCCCGGCCCCTCTGAGGCCCTGCGGCTCTAAGTCGGTGCTCTCGCTCCTCTCCCTGCTGTCTCTGTTTGGGACTCTTCAGTTCAGGCCAGGGCGACCAATTTGCAGGTGCAGTGCAAAATGAGACCATGAGGCCCTTTGTTATATCACTCTCACCAAGTTCAAGATGGGCACACAGGGTGGCACAAGCCTGTAATCCCACCTGCAGAGGGAGGAGAGAGGAGGGCCTCAGGCTTGAAGCCAGCTTGGGCAACTTGGTACGATCTTGTCTCACCCACAGAAAGGCCTGGGGATGTTGCCTAGCACTCTGGGCTTGAGCCTAGTACCATCACGAAAAAAGGAAAAAAAAAAAAAAAGCTGGTAAGGCAAGATGTGACACCATGCATGTGCCAAGTCCTATGTGTTGACACTGGTTTCTGCCTGTTCTACTGCTTCAGCACTCCGATGCCTTCCCCCCCCACCTGCTCCCCCACTTCTGCCCACCCTGAACGTGCCCCACCAGACTCCTCTCACGCCATCTTCGCCATCCCGCACTGGCGTCCAGGCAGCAGCAAAACCCTTCGCCATTGGTGAGGCCAGCCTCGCCTTGACCCAAGAGCCACTGGAACTCCCAGGTATGGGTGCCTCACCTCTGCAAAGCATGACCTGCTTTGTGTGTGTGTGTGTGTGTGTGTGTGTGTGTGTGTGTGTGTGTGTGTGGAACTGGGGATTGAACTCAGGCCCTTGCACTTGCCAGGGAAGCGCTTATCTTACTGAGCCAGCTCCCCGCCCCCATTACCTGTTTTGTTGCCAGGAACATGGCATCCATTTTCACTTCGGAATCCAAGGTAGAAGCTAAGCTCCTCCTGTGAGGGGTTTCCTGGGGAGTCCCCTTGGGGCCTGCACCCTCCATGAGAAACGCTGTCCAGTGCTCTAATGAATGGAGTCTCAGACTTCTGATGCACCCAGACAGCCCCCTTTCTCCGTGTCCTGCTGCCCTACTCCTTACTACACAGGCCCCCTCCATCTCACATCACCATTGGAGCTCCTCTAGGTTCTCCTAGTCCTCGCCTGCCTGGCCCTGGTCCCCATCTGCAAGGCCTTCACTAGACCTCCCTCCCTTCTGGGGGCACAGCCTTGGCTACCCAGCTCCCTCACTGGAAGCCAAATCTGACCCTGAGAGGCCCCAGCAAGGTGCTGCAGGACAGAGGCGACAAGCTCCTCAGGCCCTGTGCAGACCAGGCATGTACAGGTACCAGGGATGGCCAAGCCAGAGCCTCCTCCCTTGAAGCAATCCTCATTGGGGAGCTCTGGCCACTCCTGCCTCCACGTCCCCTAATGCCTGGTAGGGCCAGAGCCAGGGCGGGCTGGGAGAGGGCACAGAGGCCACCACCCTGCTCTGGCCATGCCTGCAGCACAGGGGAGAGTGAGGCAAACCAACAGTGACAGCTGCTGGTAGACATGTAGGGCTGAGGCAGGGAGCTGAGCATCGCCTGCCTCTGCGGGATGAGGGTGCAGACCCAGCCAGGGGCTCCAGCTGCCTCCTCTGGCCGCGCCCAGGACCTGCCCAGCTCTCATCTTTCCCTTCTACCCTCCCCCAGATCTGTGGTTCCTGGGAGGCTGCCTGGAGGATTGGGGGTATAAGAGACTGAGGGGGCTGCTGAGGTCTTTGAAGTTCAGGCAGACTGCTGTCAGGGCCCCTAGAGGCAGAGGCAGAGGCAGAGCCTTGAGCCACAGGCTCAGGGGCCCCTAAGCTGGCCAGGAAGGGCAGGACACATGCAGGGCTGGCCACACTTCTGGCCCAAGTGGATTCTGGGGCAGGTGCACCAGGCAAGGCTGGCCTTGAGGTCGCTGAAGGGCAGGAGGGAAGGGCCTCTCCAGACAGCAGCCACAGCAGTGACATGATCCACAGTGACAGGGACACCTGTGATCTGCTGGCCCAAGCCACCCAGCCTGCTTGGGTACCAGGGAACTGGTTTGCCTGGCATGAGCAGACATTTGGTTCTCTAAGACGCCCCATGCCCTCCCCCTACTCCTGGGCCTGGCCTCGGTTTCTGGCACAGCTGCCAAGTTTTGGTACCGCCCACCCACTCCCGCTGGCTGTACTGGCCAGCCCAGCTCCCTAATTGCTGGGTGGGGAGCTGTTCCTCAGAGCTGGTGGGGGGGCACACTTGGGAATATAGTACTTAGCCAACCAGCCCCTGCTTTCAGGGAATAAGTAATCTAGGCTTCAGGCCAGGACCTGGCTCCAGTAAGGGGGTTCTCTAGGGACCTAGTGCTCCAGAGGGGTCTAGGAAATGGGAGAAGGCAGGTATGAAGGGGCCTGGCCTGTCTAACCCAGTTACTTCCTAGCAGATCCTAGCTCAGGTATGGGCCTAGACAGGTCTCCCCTTGGCCTAGGACTGTGTCCAGGACACAAGACCCACCCATGCTTGGCAGTCAGAACAGGGGGCTGGCAGGACTGGGGCAGAGGAAGCAGCCTTCCTGGCTTCCACCCCAGGAACTAGCTTGTGAAGGCCAGGTGCCGCAAACACACACCTCTGGACACACCCACCACCCACAAACACACCTGCCACTCACAGGACAGTAAACACGCATCCCCACTATGGACAATGCACACACCCCTCTCCACCCTAAAATAGGTGGGGCCCATCAGCTTCTGGGCCATAACCCACAAGGGGCCACACACCCTGCCATACACTCCAGTCAGGACCCAGCTATCAGATCCTAGGGTCCTGGGTATGGGCTGGGAGGACCTAGGGACACCAACAGGAGCTGGCTTGGGCTCTCTGGAGGTTCCCTAAGAGGCCCAACTGGAAAGGGACGAAAGGGCAGATGGCTTTGCACAGATTCCCCCAGGGCAGGAAGCACCTGAATTTTACCCTGTGTCTCAACCCACTAGGGTCCCATGTAGTTAGTGCTGGGCAGGCATGTAACAGCCATCTTGGTGAGCTTCAGAGAAGCTGCTTTCTCTCAACATGAAGATATGTCACTTGCACCAGGTCACCAGTCCAGGAGAGGAGTGGCTCAGTGGAAAGCCAGACTATGAGGTCCACAGTGGCTGTGGGCTTTCCAGGAGCCAGGGGAAGCCAAACAGGACGGACAGTTCTGAAGCCAGGTACAGGGGAGGGAAAGACTGCTTCTTCCAAGGCTGGATGGAGCCTTCAAGAATACAACAGAGCCCATCTCATTCTCGCTTTGACACCCACCACCGACAGGGAGATGTCTCCTCCCTGGCTCTGGTAAAGATCCTTTTCCAAATGACACCAAGTGCCAGCACCTTCCTGAACACCCCCGCCCCTGTGCAGCAGAAAGATGGGAAGCGGGGTCTGGAAAGGGCCCCAAACCCAGCAGCAGCTCGGGAGCCTGTGGCCCAGACTTGCCACCAGAGCATTCCACATTCTTGCAATGTGGTGGTTGACTTGCTCTTTTGTTTTCCTGGAGTTCTTTGGTCCTGTCTCTTTTGAAAAATCCCTGGTGCTGCAAAAAGGAATTTTCAGCCCACTCGGAAACTGAGGAGCTGCGCAGTATGGAGCAGTAAGTAAGACTCTTGCGCTCTAGCACAGAGGGCTGGCAGCTGCAGACAGGCACAGGAAACAGCCTGGAACCACTTGTGCCTCAGGAAGAGGCACAAACAGCCCAGGTCAGTGGCCCGGCCATCACGAGCCACTGGACTCTGGCAAGGACAAGGCCGATGCACCACCAGGGGCCTCCTCCTAGAAAACACTCTTTTATTCTGCAGGAGACCACCGCTCCTGTCTCAACCTCCTTCCACCAAGGAGGCCTCAGCCCAGGCCTGCAGCCTTCCAACCTCAGCTGCCCGGCTGCCCTTCTGTATCCTGGGGCTCTGCCTTTTCCACCCACCTGCCTGAGGCCACACCCATTGCTGGGGGAGCGCTCCTCTGCCCTGGGGGCTTTGCCCTGGCTCCTGCAGCTGGCACCCTACCCAGCCCTCCTCTCGCAGGCCCCCATGGCTGGGCTGGCTTCTGCCTGAGGGGCAGGATGGAGCCAGCCTTCCCAGGCATCTTTAGTGTCTGCTGTCAGCTTCCCCTCCTGGCCTCAGATCTTAGAGGACTCCAACCGAGGACTCCAGGGCGCAGGGGGCTCCCGCAGTGCCCGCAGCTCCTGCTCCAGCGCCTGGTTGCGGCGGTACATGTCCATGTAGCCCCCTTGGATCTCCCGCTGATAGCGCAGCACCCGCTCCTTCTCCTCCTGCCAAGTCCGCCGCTCCTGCTCAAAGCGCAGCGCCTGCTCCTGGCCCCGGAGCCGCTCTTGTAGCAGCTCTGCCCGTAGCTCCTCGGTGCCATCTGCGCTCTCGCTGCCTCCGGCCTCCCCCCTTAGTCCCCGGCTCTTGCAGTCATCTGTCTCGCAGCTGCCCGGGGCTTCCTCCCGCGGGGCCTGCTCCTGCAGGCTGCGAACAGCCTCACGCAACCGCGCCAACTCCGCATCCTGGGCCTGGGCCTGCGCGCGGCTGCCCCGAAGCTGCGTCTTCAGATTGAAGATCTCGGCCAGCTTCTGTGCCAGCTCTGCCTGGGCCTCCCGCAGCTGCTGCTTCAACAGACTAATCTCCGCTGTCTTCTGGCACACCTGGGGGAGCAGGACAGGGTGAAGGGGTGCTCAGCCAAGCGGGGTGTGTGAAGGAGAGGAGGGCAGGACCTGCAACGTGCACGCGCATGCGGACCCTGGGCGCTCACCTCCCATCGGGCTTCTTCTTCCGGTCCAGCGCTGGGGTCGGCCTCTGGCGTGGCCCCGGGGGGCTGCTGGGGCCCCAGGCCTTGCTGTGCCCGCAGCTCCTTACGCAGGCGCCGCTGCTCCTGCTGGGCCATGAACAGCTGCAGCTGGAGGTTGCGCTCGCTACGCTCGGCCTTCTGTGCCACCTCATGCAGCCGCTCCACGTACAAGCGCTTCAGCTCGCACAGCCACAGCCGCTGGCGCTCCTCGAGCACCTGCGTGGAAAAGGCCTCCCAAGATTGAGACGCCAGTGGCCCCACACGTGTACCTGCGCCCCAGTTCATCAGCCTGACACTCCCTTGACACTGACATCTTGGTGTCCACACCACTGAGCTCAGGGCCCAGGATGCTGCCCTGCACACATCCAAAGCCTGGAAGCTCTCCAGGGGCATCCCAACAAGTGCCAGCCCCCCCACTCTTCCCCAGGCAAGCCCCGGGGGTGTGGCAGCTTTGCAGGTGCGGGGTGAACATGGGCTGGCTCCCTGCTTTCATTCTCTCTCACACTAAGGCCCCAGGCCTGAGTTGTGGCACCCTCACCTGTGTGAAGGGATTGGCGCTGTCCGGGTCACTGAGTTCCCTCTTGAGCGTGTCACAGGTGTCCGGCAACATGGCCACCACCTCCTCCGCAGTGGGGCAGGACAGTTCGTAGGGCGGTGGTGGCTCAGGCAGGCAGCTTAGCACAGCCAGGGCTCCAGCCTCCTTGGGGCTCCTCGGGGCACGGTCCAGGGAACCCCCAAGGTGGTTAATGTGGCCCAGGGAGGAGCTGAAGTGGCTGGGTCTGGTGCCAGAACTGCAGCCAAAGCTGCCCCCACTGGAAGAGTCAGACAGACTGGGCTCGGGCTCGGGGCGCCCCTCGTCCAGGCTGAGGGCATGCAGCAGCTGCGCACGGGCTTGGCTGGCGCGGGGTCCGGGGCTCAGGGGCGGGTGGCAGGCCAGCGTGTGCAGACTGCCATTGCTGCGCCATAGCTTTTGGCCCTTGTGGGCCGCCAGGCTCTGCATGGACAGGAAGCCTTTTCCAGTGCCCCCTGCAGGCTTGAACACTGACGGCCGAATGCGACACTGCCAGGAAGAGAGCAGACATAAGACCCCAGCTGGCCTCTGCTTGCCCTGCTGATGCTCCCAGAGCCCCTGGGAGGTGCTCTGTGGACGCAGGGTGCAGGCTCTGGAGGCAGCGACCACGCCCAAGCAGCCAGCCCATCCCACCCTCACCCCGTCCTGGCATCAGCGTCTCCAAGGAGGTCCCAGCACCCCCATCACATAACGGGCAGGGGCAGAGGCACACCTTGTCGAAGCGACCCCGCTCAGGCAGCGAAGTCTTGCTGAAGTCCCCAGCCCGAGGGTGCTCCCGGTAGTAGAGTGTGGCGTAGTCAGCGGGCTCATTCCGAGGCGCCCGCCTGGTGGCCTTGCTGTCCTTTTTGGGGAGGTGCAGGTAGCTGAGGAGCTCACGCTGGCCTAAACCTTTCCGGAGGAGCCCATCAGGCTGGCGGGAGCCCCGGGACCCCGAGAGGGCCGCCCGAAGCTCTTCTGGGGAGAAGTCTTGCCGCTCCAACAGGCTGCCCACGCTTCCCATGGCAATGCCAGCAGGGCCTGGGGTTGTGGCCATGAAGTTTCAGCAGGGCACAGGCAGCCGCCTCTGCAAGTTGAGAGGATCCATTAGGGAGCACTTACTGCCCCACGCAAATCCCTAAAACCTGGTTCTTGCCATCTGTCATCCTGTACACATGCCGAAGCCAAAGAGGCAGATGTGTGGGTACGAGAAAGGCTCCTGGGGCAGAATACCTAGCCTGGCAGGAAACTGGGATAAAAGCTTCAAAGCCACCCACCCACTTGACCTCTGCAGGACTAAGTCTAAGGAGGAGGAAACAGCATCAGCTCGGACCTCCAGCTACCTCTAGCTCGGGTCTTGTGGGCATGGTGGGGTGACAAGTCCCTACCCAGTAAGGACAGAGCCCTGCCTCCCAGGACCCTGCCTGCCTCCTGGAACTGGGCCAGCCAAACCCAAGGAAGATAGACTCAGGCTCTGCCTGACTGTGGTCACTCTCCTGGCAGGCTACCACTGCCTTTACAGGTGGGGAGGAAGCTCAGTGCATGAGGACCTGAGGGGCTCTATTCTTTTTCCTTCCCTGGCTTCCCTCGTTTAAGCCCTTTTCCTGCAGGGTCAGAGCTCCCCTGGGGAAACATCTGGTGCAGGTGGGGCAGGGGCTACCAGGAGGGATACAAACAGGAAGTACGGCCTTACAAACAGGAAAGGCACAGGGGGACAATGGCCACAGCTTCCCGAGCAGGTGTGTGGGTGTGAGCTGTGATGGGAGGCAGAGGGAAGGGGCAGCCAGGCCCCTGCTGGCTGCTGCTGTTCCACATCAGGAACACCATGTCCAGAGGAGTCCAGCTGTGTGTGACCTTGGCCGTGGCCCCAGCCTCCGGCTTCCTCTTGGACAATGGCAAAGGCAGCTCTTATCATACTGGGATGCGAGGAGGGTGGGATGAGATAATGGGACAGTGCCCACACTGGCCTGGCCTGCCCTGCAGCCAAGGTCCGCACAGGCTGGTTGAAGCAGAGCTCCAGCACCCCTGCCCCCACCTGTGCTGGGGTGGGGCCTGCACTCTGGAGTGCACTGCTAGAACACAGGCCAGGCCCAGTGCCCTTGCCCCCCTCAATGGGTGCAAAGGACCTACAAGGGCACCACCTTTCCCACCTTTGCTTCCCCAGCTGCTCCCATTGCTCAACAGATGCCCAGAAGACAGGCCGCACCCCCATATACTTCCGGGACACCCACTCCCCTCCACCCCAGACAATGGTCCTTAGGAGGCTCTATCTTCCTCAATCATTTCCAGGTTTTGTGTCTGTCACAGACAAAGCTCTCTGGGGGGAGGGAGGTGGTGAGCCCTGTCCCCTACCCATGCTACAGCCCCCAACAACAATCCCGGCAAACATACTCAGCCCAGGCTGCCCCACCTAGCCCCCAGCCCTGAGGAGGGCAGCACATCTGAGTCTGCACACAGCATCCCAGCCCCGTGTGCACAGGCCCAGCCCTACTGGGGTCTCACAGGCCACATGGCCTGGGGACTTATCCAGGAAGGCATCACAGGTATGGGGCTCTACAGCAAGGCGGTACTTTGTAGGAGTTCCACTGAATCCTGTGACATGTCACTTTCCCCTTTCAAAGGTTCCACAGGGCTCAGAAAAATGATTTGACTGACATCACAATATAGTCAGGGTGAGGACGTCCGAGAGACCAACACCAGGGCTGCCAATTGTCTCCCCGGAGCCCTGGATGTCACCCGCATCCCAGGAACTGGATGGCATCACCCTGCCTCACCCCCTGCCACCCCCAGCCAGGACTGAGAGTTACGAGGCTCTGTCACTGCCTCTCAAGAGAACCTGGCCTCCAGCCAGCCCCTTCTCCTCCAGGCACGAACGCACTTCCCTTTGCCCTGCCTTGGTTGCCTCTCCTGGCTTCCACGTAAGACCTCTGTGAAAGTCACAGAGACAAGGCAGGTGAAAGGGCTTTGCTAAGCTCTATGTAGCCAGGGGCGGGGCAGTGACCGCAATGCCAGATACACCCACCTCACCCCAAACACTGGCCTCCTCTGCTTTCCCTGGGCAGACGCTTGCTTCCAGTCTCAGCAGAGAAAATCTGTGATGCTCTTTCTTTCCCACCAAGTGTCTTGGGTCCCCAGGTGCTGCCACAGCTCTGAGCCACAGCACTGTGTGCGACCACACTTGGAGAACACCATGTCACGTGTACGCCCCACCCAAAAGCAGAGAAATATATTCTAGAGGACACGATGAGGACAGCCATGTCCAACATCAGCCAGTCAGCCATGCAGTCAGGCACAAGGTCACCCTGCACCCTTCCTCAGTGACATTTCAGGCAGTATTATCAGCTCCCCCTAGCAGGGTTGAGGCCCCTGAGGCCCAGGTCTTAGTGTGGGGACAGACACTTCCTTCCCCGAAGAAGCCCCTCCCCCAACAGACACATACATTCCTTGCTTCGTTGCTTGGAAGCTCTGCAGCTTCAGCTCAGGCCAAGGCAGCTGTGCAGCTGGGGTGGAGATTTTGGGGAGGGAGACAGCAGGAGAGACAGCAGGTGCCAAGCAGCCTCCCTGGGATTCCTGAACAGAGCCAGCAGGGCACAAAGCCGGGGCTTCACCCACGGCCAGATAACTGTCTGGGCTGGGAGCTCTCAAGAGCTGCAAACCCACCTCACCAACAACTCTGCAGGGCCTCTCTCCAGTCCCTCCACCCTACCCTGAGATGAGCCCTGGCATAGAAGCAAGGCGCTCCTTATGGTCCCATACAGTGGAGACCAGAGAACCAAGGGGCCCTGGCCACCAAGCAGAAGAAAAGAGGACACATGGGCAGGGATGCTAGTGCCAGACGTGGGCTCCACTTCTGCCCTGAAACACATACACAGGAGGAGAAAGCCCAAGCCCAAGGCTGAGTAGGCTCCACGGAGAAAGTGTACAAGCACCCTGGTTCTGGGCCCAGCCGACCCCACCCATATCTCCTCCTGGGTGGGACACCCCACCCCACGTGGACAGACGTCCTGCCAGCCTTAGCTGTGGCTAGCAGCTCCTGAGTCCGGCCCCTGGGGGGTCCAGCACCTGCTGGAGGATCAGGCATGCGGGTGTGTCTGCAGCTGCCCCAGGAATGAGACCGGAATGTCCCAGCTCCCAAAGAGGGGTAGTGGGCACAGGGCACGGAGGGGGAGAGGGAGGTGGGCTGCCCTGGGCCACTGTGCCACTCGTGGCTACTCCCAGTGGTACAGCAGCCTGCTTCACTCCCACATCACCTCCACAGCAGCCAGCAAAGGCAGGCAGGACAGTAAGGTCTCTCTTTCCATTTTACACAGAGGAAATGGAGGCCAGAGGAAGGCAGCTGTCCGAGACCCCCAGGGAGGAGCCAAGCCCTGTCCACTGTACCGGGCTCTGCCGACCAGGGGTCACCTTCCTCCACAGGCTGCTGCATTCTGACCCTGTTTCTCCCAAGGGCTTCTGCAGCAGGGCTGGTCTGGATAGATGGCTCCTGGACCAGGGACCCCTCCGGCCTGCCCCGAGGTTCCGAAGGGGTCAGTAGGCACCGGCTGGCACGGGCACTTTGAGCGCTGGAGCCTGTCAGAGGCGGTGGCACCGCGGGCTGGCGACACCCGTTCAGTCTCGCACCTACACACCCACACGCACCAGGAGGCGGAGGCGCCTGCCCAGGAGGAGGCTGATACCTGGCCGTGGTGGCCGCCCGCCTCCAATGCCA